ATATATATATATATATATATATAAAGTTTAAAAGCAACAAATCAAAATGAATGTAGCAGATATGTGAGCACAAGCCAGCGATAGGGATGGGCTAGCAGGCCCAAAGGAGAGCTTGGCTTGGCAGAGGAACAGCCATAAAGGTGAGAAAGATGGTGGGGACACGATCGTGAAAGCCCTCGAGCTGAGCTTAGGAATTTGGACTAAATTCCAAGGGTAAAGGAAAAGCAGAGATTTCTGCACTGGGAGGAATAGGCTACTAGTAGTGGTTCAGGAAAATCATTGTTGGCAGAGAAAGGCTCCTTCCCTCATTGCCTGGCACGTACCAGGGCCTCTACCTCCTCCACAGAAGCAGCTTCAGCAGCCAGTGTGGGTGCAGGGAAAGCACTCATTTAAATAAAAGCCTGAGCCAAACAAAATTAGGAGGGAAAATCTCTTTCTAAAATATTTTTGTTTTAATCCCATGTGCATTCCACCGAGAGGACTTTTGGATCACTTTCCGTGCTGCTTGTCCACTAGTGTAAATAACCAAGATAGGCTCCCAACTTAGAGCAAACCTAGAGGAGGGTACAGTCAGCAGCCAGCAGAGGTGTTACCTTGGCTCCTCTCCTGGGGAGTTGCGTCCAACACCTGCCATCCACTGTATGATGGGCCCAGATCCGTCCGGGTAAACCAGGCTTCATTCCAGACATGGAAGTTCCTGAAGACAGAGCCATAAGATGCAAAGGTTGCCCAAGGTTATATGGCAGGTGAGCAGCAAACAGCACATCTCTGACCTGATAGTGCAGTGACCTGATGCGCATCTGTGACAGCTACTGTGCTAAGCCTTTGTGAGTATTTTCACTTAAATCCTCATGGTGCTATGAGATGGGCACCATTTTTTATCCCTATTTCATAGAAGAAGAAACTGAAGTTCAGAGAGATAAAGCAGCTAGCAATGACAGAGGTAATTTTTAACTCTGGGTACAAAATGTTAACTCCAAAGCCTAGCCCCTTGACCACCATACTGTCCTGCCTTTCTGAGAACCAATGAATCTAGGTTTGACCCAGCTACCTGGAGGGCAAATATACCCAGCTCTCCCTTCTGCCTTTTGCTGGGGTACAGGTGTATTTTGGGTATAGACTGGAAGTGGACTGCAGGAGGAGTGACAGATCTGGTGGAGATTGCCTCAGAAGGACTCTGGTTGGAGTGCATTGAAGAATTATATATCCCAGTCCTAAAATGTCCTTCATCAATGGAATTGCTATTCACCTTGTTTCTCAACCATAGTCTTTGTCTTCCCCTTCCCTCACCAGGAACAGTCAATTAGCCAGATCTTATTCATTCCATCCCTTGATTCTGCTCTCTTTTTTCCTTTCCACTTCCACTGCAGCTATGTTAATGCCAGCTTTGGCAGTTTTTGGTCCAACTTGAAGAAAATGTAAGTACAACATAAATCCAAGCTCTAGCTAATGTGGAAAAATTTAGAAGTGGAAAAGATAGTTCTAAGCAGAATACCAATTTCAGAAGCCACAAACGGAAAGAGTGATAAATTTGACAAGGTAAAAATATTAAACTTACATGTACAAAAAATGAATAATTAATAAACTGGAGTTCTGCACCTGGTATGAACAAGTAAGCTCTTAACAAGTGGATTCTTCTTCAGATAACAACAAGAAAGTCAGACAAAAAAAAAAAAAAAAAGAAAAACAACTATCTGAGGTTCTCTAGAGAGTGAGAAAAGCAAGAAGATTTTGGAGAGGAGTTAAAATTGGAGGAAGCGGCCAACATGGGGTGAGTTGCACTTTTTGTGACTGACCAAAGGACAGACCACAGTTGCTCTAAAATGCCAGGCAGAAAAGACTCCAGACAGCCCAATCTTTCTGACCTCAGTAACCAGGCAACAGAGCCCAGTTGCTAGACAGTGAGGGAGAAATGCTGGAAAGGAAAGAGTCAGATAAAGGCAAACCCAGATTCATATATAAACTTTGAAGCATACATGTGTGAGGCAGACTACAAACAGCTCAGCTAAAAATGGAAGAATTGAACTGAGATTTTAACTGCTGCCTACCACAGGTGAAACAGAGGTTGCAGTTCGAGTTTGCCTAAAGTAGACTGCTAAAACAAAATACCAGAATCCAGACATGCCTAGTGTTCCAGAGATACAATCCAAATTTACCCACCATACAAAGAACCTGAAAACATGACTTATCCTCAAGGGAAAAGACAATGAACAGAGACCAATTCTAAAATAACCCAGGTGTTGGAATTATCAGACAAGGCCTTGAAGTCAATTATTATAACTATGCTCAATAAAGTAAAAGAAAATATGTGTGTACCAAATGAGAGTAATTCTTAGCAGAGAAATAGAAAATATAAAAAAGAACGAAATGAAAATGTTTAACTGGAAAAAACATACAAACCCAATATCTGAATTAAAAAAAAAATTCAGTGCATGGGCTTAGTAGCAAGATAGAAATGACAGAGGAAAGAATAAGTAAACTTGAAGACAGATCAGCAGAACTTATCCAATCTTAAGATTAGAGAGAACAAATAATTTTTAAAAAATCAATAAAATAGTTAAAATGTATGCAACACATATGCTAGATAATAATTTACCATAATTAATATAGAAAATTGCTTACAAATCAATAACAAAAAGACACAAAAAGTCAAACACTCCAATAAAGAACAATGAGTAGGCAATTTTCACAAGAAATACAAATGACCAATGAACACGGGATAATAGTTTCAGCCTTACTAGCATTAAAGCAAATTAAATTGGCAAAGAGATAACATTAGCATCTATCAGCGAGACAAAGGTGAGAGTATGAGATGATACCTGTTGTTGAAAAGAGTGTGGGGAAAAGAGCATGATCACACACTACTGATGGAGTTTAAATGGGTGTGACACTTCTGGAGGGTGATTTGGTAATGACTATGAGAAGCCTTTAAAAATCTACATACCCGATGAGCAAGCAATTCCACTTCCAAGAAATGCAACTATAGAAAAAACTCACGTGAGTACACATCAATGGACATGTACAGGTGTTTACTGCAGCACTATTTGTAATAGCAAAAATATTGGGGAGAATGTTAGATAAATTGTGGCATAGCTATGCAATGAAGTATCATGCAGCTGTCAAAAAGAATAAGGTAAATCTAGCACTTGAAGATTAAAGACCATATAGTATGCAGTTTGGATTACACTTCAATATAAAGAAAACAAAAATCCTCACAACTGGACCAATAAACAGCATCACAATAGATGGGAAAAAGATTGAAGTTGTCAAAGACTTCATATTACTTGGTTCTACAATCAACACCAATGGAAGCAGCAGTCAAGACATCAAAAGACATTGCATTGGGCAAATCTGTTGCAAAAGAACTCTTTTGAGTGCTGAAGAGCAAAGACATCTCCTTGAAGACAGCTGCACCTAACTCAAGCCATGGTATTTTCAATTGCCTCATATGCATATGAGAGCTGGGCAATGAATAAGGAAGACCAAGAAGAGTTGGATGCTTTTGAGTTGTGGTGTTGGTGAACAATACTGAAAGTACTATGGACTGCTAAAAGAACTAACAAATCTGTCCTGGAAGAAGTGCAGCCAAAATTCTCCTTGGAAGTGAAAATGGCTAGACTTCATCTCACCTACTTTGGTCATGGCAGAAGGGCCCATTCTCTAGAGAAAGATGTCATGCTTGATAAAGTGGAGGGTCAAGAAAAGAGGGGAAGGCCTTCAACATGATGTATTGACATGATGGCCACAACGATGGAGTCATGTATAGTAGGGATTGTGAGGCTGGCCCAGGACTGAGCAATGTTTCATTCTGTTGTACATAAGGTTGCTATGAGTTGAAGATGACTCAATGGCACATAGCAACAACAAAAGCACTTACATGGAAAAATGTCTAAAATACATCATGAAGTAATAAAAGCAAATTAAATATTACATACACTTATTATGTTATACACACACACACACACACATATGATGAACTCATTTGGCTTCAAAAACTATACTTAAAAACTCATAGAAAGTTAGTCCTCAATAATTCCATTACCTTAGGTACCATGAACAGTTTGGTGTATATATCATATATATGGACATATTTTGGTAATATGGACTAAATTTTAACATTACTTATTTCTGTAATGTTTCCATTTTCTATAATAGGTATTTCTCATTACTTCTATAATTAGAATATAAACAAATATTTTTAAAATACGTATATTATTTAAATAATTATAGCTAACACATCAATTGTTTCTGTGTTGGCACAGTTCTAACTGTCTTACATATATAAACTCATTTATTCCTTAAAACACCTCTGTAAGATAGGAACAATTATTATCCCATCTTACAAATCCAGAAACTAAGGCACAGAAAAGTTAAGTGATCAGTCTGAGGTCTCACTGGAGGAAAAAGGTAGAGTGGGATTTGAACACAGGCAAAAAGGCTCAAGAGATCATGCTTCACTGAGTTGTCAGTGAAGGCAAACATGGGTATATGGGTGGATAGATGGGTGGAAGGCAAACATGGGTATACAGGTGGATAGATGGGTGGACAGGCTGAACTATTAGGAATGTCTATGCAGCAGGGAGTGTACCCAAGACCATGTACAGGGTTGGCAGACAATGGTTCTACAAGTGTATTTGTATATTCTGTAAGAACTCCCAGGGGTACAGTAGAGCTGACAAGGGACAAGGTTGTAGTCACTACCCAGAGGGACCAAGTAGTTGAACCTGTGGGCTGGGGACCATAGTCGTAGGGGACATCAAGCTAAATTGGCATAACATACTACACAAAAACATTGTTCCACCTCCTACTTTGGTGAGTAGTGACTGGAATGTTAAAAGCTTGCAAGCAGCCATCTAGATGTAACGATGGGTCTCTCCTCATCCAGAGCAAAGAAGAATGAAGAAAACCAAGGATTCATGGAAACAATTAGTCCTCATGATTGGTACGCCATGCAATCCTCAGCCTATACGACTATGAGACCAGAAGAACTAGATGGTGCCTGGCTATCACTGTCAACCACTCAGAGGGAGGTCTATGTAGGAGATCCTGAATAGAGAAGGAGAACAATGTGGAACAAAACTCAAAATCATTTGGAAAAAAAAAAAAAAAGGAGACCAGGTTTGCTGGTCTGATAGAGCCTGGTGGAACCACTGAGACTATGGTCCCTAGCTGCCCTTCAGGTCTGGAATTGAACCCACACCAGTGGCTTCCACTCAAATAATAGCAGGCATAAGAGTTGAACATGTACCTGAGGTAGAGACATTCCTTGGAGAGAACAACCATGGGAGAAAGAAAGGCTGTTTACACACAGGGAGTCAGTTCAGAGGGCCGGAGTGCATGGAGGGAAGAGGTGACTATCGGGAGGAAGTGGGAAGGGAGGTGTTGCATTGGGGTAAACTGTCAATGTCATGAGACAACGTGTGTGTGAGCTGCTGTATGGAAAGTGAATTTGCTCTGTAAACTTTCACCCAAATCACAGTAATAAATAAATAAATACATAAATAAATACATAAATAAAAAAGACCATGCTTCTGAACTATAAAACTATACTGTCTCTCAACATTTTAATTTACAGTCCTGCATAGCAAGATACACAAAATTTAAAAATAGACTGCATAACTTGATTCCATTTGGATAATTAAAACTCTTAAACACACGAACATCTAATGTGTGTGACTATAAACAGAAAGAAATGTC